CACTACAGAATGGTCTTCATCTTTCAACAAATTGCCATGTCCCACCGATGCAGGGTGGACCAAAAAGAAAAAAAAAAACCAAAAGTGTCTTTTTTTAGGTTTTCAGTAATGTATTACAGGATGCTAGGCCCTTTGCTCCTGGCATTTTAGTCACCTTATTTTTGACACTCACAGCTTACAGAGGATGAATTTCTGCCCCACTCCCCAATGGAGAATAATGAAAGTTATTCGAAAAAAAATAGATAATGCGAAAGTATTGCTTATAGAGGAATAAGCTTTTACACCCAGTACACACTTGTTTTTGCTCTCGCCTCTTTTAATCGACCTTATCTGCACTTTTTATTTCCCCCTTGGAGGTAATTCATTTAATGGGAATCCTACACACTGTCTACTAGTAAGTGTACGGTAGGGTTATTATTGAAAGAATTAGAGGTAAGATAGAGAGCAGGATTGCAGATAAGCAAGGAAGCTTTAGAGTGGGTAGAGGATGTGTAGATCAAGTGTTTACATTGAAGCATATATGTGAACAGTACAGTGCTAGTCACGGCATTATGCCGCCCCTCCCTCAGACATGTACCAAAACACAATACCATGATAGATTATAATACATATATTTGCATAGTTACTGAGGTTTTAATACTTAGTGCTGCATCCTTTACACTGAATCATGTCCCTCAGCAGTGCAGGAGGACTCTCACACAAATTCTTGAGGATCTGGGAGGTATATTATTCCATGCCTCATGAAGAGCAGCCTCCAGCCATGGGATGGAACTGATATCCTTGTCCAGTAAACTTAGTTTCACTAATGACCAGAGGTTCTCAAAAGGGTTTAGGTCTGGGGAATTGCCTGGCCAGTCATTAAAGAACCTCACTTCACAGTCCTTAAGCCACTGAACTACAGATTTGGTGGTATGACACAGTGCACCGTCCTGCATAAAAACCGTAGCCCCACATTTGTCAAACGCCTCAGGCAAATTGTCACACAATAACTCCAGGTAATTATACTGGCTCATATACTGGTTTTTGGGAAGCACAGTTAGTTCACCAACACTGAGCACTGAAACACCCCGAAACCATGAGCGAATCTGGGTGTTTGGTGGTCCCACAGGTGTAGCATGGGTCTAGCGAGTCACTACCCCTGGGCTGGTACACGTCCCCCACGGTTACAGGTGATGGTGAAGGTTGTTTCATCACTCCAAAGTACTTCAGACACTGTTGAGGACTCCAGTGAAGATATTTCTACATAATCCAGCCTATGTTTCTTCTGTGGCTTGGAGAGGATTGGTTTCTTAACCTGGCGGTGGCTACTATAGCCCAGTTCTGACACATGTCTGTTAACAGTTCTTACAGACACCTCTGAGAAAAGATGTGGGTTCTTCTCTTTCAATTTTCTAGCAGTTATCCTAGGTGTACTCCCTAACTGCTTCTTTAGCACAGTTAAGGTACGAACAGATGTCTTCTTCGAGGGGCCAGGCCGAGGTTTAGCAGACGGTAACTCAACCGCCACCAGCCTTGAAATGCTGCACCCAGTTCCTCACTGAATGCTCACACACACCAACATTCTCCACTATTTCTTTCGTCTGATGCCCAGCTTTTTGAAGCCCTATGATTTGAGCTATAGTTTCAGGTGTTAAAGACTTTCTTTTACCCATAATCAAACATGTATAGGCCCAAAACCAAAGGGAACACCGGACAAAAGATGGGGCGGATGAAAGACAAAAGTGCAACACTTCTTCTCACCACGGCAGCCAAGTGAACACTGAGGATTCACTGTGGAGTGTGGCGACAGGCCGTGACATCATGGTAACGGTTGCTACCCAGCATAATGCACTGACGAAAAAATACCTCCCTATATGGTAGGCCTTTGTTACTTTGATTTTTCATCACGTCATTATGCCGGGGCGCTCACTTGGCATAATGCTGTGACTAGCACTGCATTTAGATAAATGTAGGGAAGTTTTCATTGCATTTATGGATATAGAAAAGGCATATGATAGAGTAGATAGGGGAGCAATGTGGCAGATGTTGCCAGTGTATGGAATAGGTAGTAAGTTACTAAATGCTATAAAGAGTTTTATGAGGATAGTGAGGCTCAGGTTAGGGTGTATAGGAGAGAGGGAGATTACTTCCTGATAAAAGTAGGTCTTAGACAGGGATATGTAATGTCACCATGGTTGTTTAATGCAGTGGACCCCCAGATTACATCGTCATCAGAATACGTAAAACATGTATTCGGAATAAGTAACGTTTTTTCATCAAAATATTGGCTCGGTGATCGTCACTAAAATTGGTATAAGTTATTTGTCTGGAATGTGTCCACATGGCCTGAGCAGCCCCGACACTCCATGTACAGCCAGTGTGCCACTGTTTATCAGCCAGTGAGGACAATCCCATGCATTCATAAGATATATTTTGTATTATTCCATTCTGTTTAGTGCTTGCAACTGCTAAATAAGCCACCATGGACCCAAAGAAAGTTCCTAGTGCCAGAGAGAGGGGAGAATGTGCCTCTTTCAGTGATTCTGCAATAAGTATGATACTAAAGCAGCAAGAGTTGATAAAGGCTATTGCTCTAGCCAGCGATAAAGTGTAGCATTAACAACATAGCAAGTAAGTTAATCGATTAATCGAAAGAAAAAGAACAGCACGAAACTGACTCCTCTATTGTTGTTGGAGGTATATAGGGCTACTGACTAACACTGCCGCCTCTGCTGCCTCTTGCTGCTGCCTTCACCAACACTATGTAAGGCTTATCTTTCAGTGGCCCTTATACACCCAACAACAAACAACACACCACCACTCGTGACATTCTTAATGCCATAGTTTATTCATTCTAGAGTATATATCATGTTTCTATGTTATTAATATTGTTTTTTATGTCATATTAGATGAATTGTGATAGATAAATAAGCCGTAGAGATTATATTAGTGTCATATTGAAGGACTATCTTGTCCTGTCTCCCAACACAATTCCTAACATACGCCAGAAACAGACTTCTCTGGAACACTTTTTTGAGCGACAGGGGTCCAGTGACTCTCAAGCTGGTCCTAGTGGAATTAAAAAACAGTGAAGGGAAGTAACCCACGATAAGGACTTGGTACCTGAAGTCTTTATGGAAGGGGATTTCCCTTCCAAACAATTGTAGACTCCATCCTCTCCTCTCTTCCCATCTTCCATACATCACTGTCTTCAATAAAGGTAAGTGTGATGTTATTCTTCTTTTACTCTTCATGTATCATTGTGTTCTGTGTAGTTAAATGTATATTTCATGTAGAAAACATGTTTTTTAATACTTTTGGGTGTTTGAAACGGATTAATTGGATTTCCATTATTTCTTATGGAGAAAATTAATTCAGAATTCATCAGATTCGGGTTTAGTCACTCTCTTTGGAACGGATCAATTACGAAAACCGGGGGTCCACTGTATATTTATAAATGGGGTTGTAAAAGAAGTCAATGCTAGGGTGTTTCGGAGAGGGGTGGGATTAAATTATGGGGAATCAAATACAAAATGGGAGTTGACACAGTTACTTTTGCTGATGATACTGTGCTTTTGGGAGATTCTAAAGAAAAGTTACAAAGGTTAGTGGACGAGTTTGGGAGGGTGTGTAAAGGTATGAAGCTGAAAGTGAATAGATAAGAGTAAGGTGATGAGGGTATCAAATGATTCAGATAAAGAAAAATTTTATATCACATTGGAGAGAGGGACTATGGAAGAAGTGAATGTTTTCAGATATTTAGCAGTTGCCTTGTCAGCGGATGGGTGTATGAAGGATGAGGTTAACCATAGAATTCATGAAGGAAAAAAGGTGAGTGGTGTGTTGAGGTATCTATGGAGACAAAAAACATCCATGGAGCCAAAGAAGGGAATGTATGAAAGTATAGTGGTACCAACACTCTTACATGGATGTGAAGCTTGGGCGAGGAGGCAGCTGGAGGCAGTGGAGATGTCCTGTCTAAGGGCAATGTGTGGTGTAAATAATATGCAGAGAATTTGTAGTGTGGAAATTAGGAGGTGTGGAGTTACTAAAAGTATTAGTCAGAGGGCTGAAGATGGGTTGTTGAGGTGGTTTGGTCACTTAGAATGGAACAAAGTAGAATGACTTGGAAATGTATAAATCTGTAGGGGAAGGAAGGCAGGGTAGGGGTCGTCCTCGAAAAGGTTGGAGGGAGGGGGTAAAGGAGGTTATGTGGGCGAGGGGCTTGGATTTCCCACAATCACGCATGAGTGTGTTAGATAGTAGTGAATGGAGACGAATGGGTTTTGGGATTGACGAGCTGTTGGAGTGTGAGCAGGGTAATATTTTGTGAAGGGATTCAGGGAAACCTGTTAGCCGGACTCGAGTCCTGGAAATGGGAAGTACAATGCCTGCACTTTAAAGAAGGGGTTTGGGATACTGGCAGTTTGGAGTAACTATCTAAACTGTCGTATCTGGGCGCCTCTGCAAAGACAATGATTATGTATGAGTGATGGTGAAAGTATTGACTGATAGTGAAAGTTTTTTTCTTTCTTTTTGGGTTTTTCTTTCTTTTGAGTCACCCTGCCTCAGTGGGAGATGGTCGACGTGTTAAAAAAAAAAATCATGTGTGCACTGTATGTTCCTTTTTTAGGCTTAGCTCTATTGCTCACTTAATATATGATAATGTAAGCATTTTATCAGGCTTTTATATGCATTTGAAAGTTAAAAAGGCTACAATTCACTTTACAGCAGTAGCCCAGAATCTATCTGCTGTATAAGCAGGGCCCTCCTGTATAGGAGATGGGGGTCCCCAATTTATAAACAAATGTTATCATGATTCACACTTATGAAGCTGAAAACATGTAATATTGATATAATTGTTTTATGAATGCTGACCTGTAGTTACAAACATGTGTGACACTATTATCCTTTCTATTTTCTAAAGAATAATAGGTTAAAGATACAAATAATTGGTTTGTAAGTTGAATTAATGGGAGATCTGCCTATCAAAAGTTGGGGACCCCCTGCAAACCCAAAAGACAGAAAGACACAGCTGACTAGAACAAAATGACAAAATGTAGTATTGTACCTTGTAATTTCCGTCTGTGGAAGCGCGGGGAGCCTAGAAAAGAATTCTTAATAGTGTTGAGGCGGGACTTCCAGTAAGGCGCAGAGTAGGGAGAACCAGGCGCAGACGGAGGGTTGCTGTCGTCGCCCGGAGTTATTGTGCATGACTGCTGGTGACTGCTGGTACTACTGACAACAGTGCTGACCCCGCTGGTACTGGTACTGGTGCTAGTGCTGGTGCTGCTATGGTGGTGGTGGTAATGTTGCTGGGAATGGTGGTGGCGGGAGGTGCGTGGTGAGGAGAGTGGGGAGGCAGTTGGTGTCACGTTGTTCGAGTGGAGGGGAGAGTGAGAGCCACTGTTGTTATTTCCAGAGCGCCGACGACTGCATGGAAGTGTGTGCGACGACCTGCAAAAAATATGTTAATCACAACATATTAATATGAAAATACATACCTCCGTATCTAAAATTTCTTCCTAAGACCAGTGTCAAAATTATTATACAATCATCTATCGCCCAACGAAAGTTACCTTAGTGGAATTTCACCTAATGACCAAAAAGCTTCCACTGAATGACCAACTAATTTGGTTGTTAACCAAATTTGCTGGATCCAAGCTTTCTGCCCAATTCCTGGAGATATTATCATAGTCTCACTTAATTTTTCCACAATATCTCGTTCAATATTGCTTTAATATGGCTTTGTTGACTTTCCTACGAAAAACTGAACAAAAAGGAGAGAGATTTGGGCATGAAGAAATTGAATAAGACTATTTTGAACATAATCCTATGGTTCATTTTCATTTAGTGTTATGCACTAAGTTAGAGAAAAATGGACCCAGCTAGAGGAAGTCAGACTGAATTCTCTATTTTTTCTTCCACTGGTTTTTGATTAGTTTCATTTATATTTTGTATATAGTCATATAGTATATGTTTAGTAAGCTTGCAATTTTTTTTTTTTATAAAAATTTGTCACTAAACGTGAAATACAATGAGATACCGTAGGTTTACTTGAATTTTTTGCAATATCTTCTTAAATATTCCTCTAATCTGGCTTCTGATGACAGTCATAAGACAAGCTGAACCAAAAACCAAAAACAAAAAAGATATGAATGCTGGAATTTGAATGATACTGTTTCGAACAAAATCTTATGGTTCTTTTCTATTCCTAGTGTCATGCACCAAGTTAGGGGAAAATGGAACCAACAATTTCCTCAATGTCTTGGAGGGTAAAACCAATGCATACACCTGTCACATGGTGGTGGTAGCATTGTTGTTGCTGCTGCTGCTGCTATGGCACTGGTGCTGGTTGATGGTGATGATATTGGAAGTGGTTATTGCTGCTAATTGGAGGAAGGAGTGGGGAGGGAAGAAGAAAGAGGTCGAGAAGAGTTTAAAGGGCCATTGGAACTCTTTTTCCCAACAACAGTCAGCCTAGACATTGTCACAACCCTTCAGCCCAAAAATAACAAAAATAGATGTGATGCATCTCTGAAGATTTTATAATTTTTTCATTAGTTTTTGTGCTATGCACTCATAAAACAGATGTATAACACCACCATACCTCTACTAAACTATGGACCCATCTTTGGTAGGACTTTTATTGAAAAATTAGATTCACCTAATGTAAAAAACTCAAATTACATACAGGAAATTACCATCCCAGTCCACATCTCAAGTTATAACATGGGACCTCCTGGGAAAGTTTGATTCACTTAACGAATGATTCTTACAGTCCCTATCTCAGTAGTTAACCCTTTGACTGTTTTGGTCATATATACATGTATATGTCTTATGAGCCAATGTTTCAGACATATATATACTCAATAATTCAAGCGGCTTCAAATCAAGCAGGAGAAAGCTGGCAAGCCTACATGTGAGAGAATGGGTCTGTGTGGTCAGTGTGCACCACATAAAAAAATCCTGCAGCACGCAGTGCATAATGAGAAAAAAAAACTCCGACTGTTTTTTTGGATTAAAACGCCAACTTTGAGGTGTATTTTCGTATAGTATTTATCATTGTATTCTCGTTTTCATGGTCTTGCGTGATAAAATGGAACACACATTACAGAAATAGAGATGATTTTGATTAGTTTCACGATGAAAACTACCTTGAAATTGAGCTCAAAGTAGCGGAAATGTTCGATTTTTACCAATGTTCAAGAGTAAGCAAATCACACCACACGTCCAATACATGTCAACTGGGGAGTCTAATATTCTTTCACTAGTGCACTGATATTATTTATACCATTTTTACAATAATGCAGTAGTCTGCATAACAGAAAATCTTCTTTTTTTGTATGAATAAAAAATCAAAATAGAAAGCAATAGTAATATAAGAGGGGCCTAGAGACATGACTAATGAACATAGGATATGTTATTTTAGTGCCAAGAATGTCTACATTGTTTATTCTGGACTATTTTGAAACTGGCATCTTTTTTAATTTGCGTGAAATTGGCCAAATTATAGGTCCATCACAAATCCGGCAATTAGTTATTCAGTTCCTTCAGTTATTCGGCACTAATTTTGGCTAGCATAATTTCAAATTTCCAGGGTCGCCACATCAACCTGCTGGTACTGTTTGGTGGCGCTACTTTCTGCATAAGTCATTCTAATTTCTTTTTCTCCATATGTTATAACCTGCTTACTTTTAGCCCTAGCCATGGTTCCAATGAATAAAAGAAATGCTTCTCATTATGTAAAGCACCTACACAGTACATTGGCTTTGAAGCCACTGTCAGTTGCCATGAGCTCAGTCTCGTGATGCAGGAGAATATGCTTTATTATTACACTAATATCAACACTACAGCTTATTGCCTATCACAATTGATCTAATATGACATAATAAATAATATAAATAACATAAAACATGTTCAATACTCCAGAATGAATAATATTTGGCATAATACCGAGCAGTTCGACGGAGGTATGAAGAGGATATGGTATACAAATACCATTCTCCTATCCCTGTCTTGGGGGCTTATATTAGAGAAAACGGAGTATAGCACAGGGCTAACTGTGATATACACTTATACTGCACCATAAACCTGAAACAAAAGTTATTTTCTCTATATAGATTATCACACATAGCAGCATATGTGTAGAGAACCTAGGATAACCCAAAAAAGTCAGACAATGTGGCTTATTTCTAGTACCTGGCTTGGGTTAGCCATATATGATTTTTGGTAAATATTCGATTCCCAGCCAGGGTAGAAACATTGGGAGTGTTTCTTTACACTTGTTGTCTATGTTCATCCATCAGTAAATGGGTACGTGGGTGTTAGCCGACTGGTGTGGGTGTTATCCTGGGACACTGACCTAATTTGCTTGAAATACTCTGCATAACAAGCGGCTTTCAATATAGTATGTCACTGATGTCAGCTAGGCCTGTATACCATGTACATGTATGTGTACTAAATAAAGATCTTTCAACACTTTCAACACACTGGCCATATCCCACCGAGGCGGGGTGGCCCAAAAGGAAAAACGAAAGTTTCTCCTTTTACATTTAGTAATATATACAGGAGAAGAGGTTACTAGCCCCTTGCTCCCAGCATTTTAATCGCCTCTTACAACACGCACGGCTTACAGAGGAAGAATTCTGTTCCACTTCCCCATGGAGATAAGAGGAAATAAAGAAGAAATAAAGATATTATTATTATTATTATTATTATTTTTTCAATTGTTTGCTGGGTTATCTTATTGAAACTTGGACAACGTATGATGGAAAGATACTTCTTAACGTACACCAAAAATGAAAGAAATCAGACCATAATAGCGGAGTTCATTTCTCAGCCATTAGCGGCAGCTTAGCGGTATATTTTTGTATGGTTTTTATGGTTATATTCTTGTTTTTTCAGTCTCATTTGATAGAATGAAAGATATATTACAGAAATAGATATGATTTTAATTGCTTTCATGACGAAAAGTACCTTGAAATTGAGCTCACAGTAGCGAAAATATTCTATTCTTTAGCGAAGCTCAAGAGTAAACAAATGACGTCACCATCCAATACCTCTCTGCCTGCCAGTCCAAATTCCAATACGGAGTCAAGAATGGGTTGGCATTATTTATACAATTATTACAATAATGCAGCAGTCTGCATAACAGTAAATCTATTTTTGTGTGAATAAAAATTCCAAATGGAAAGCAAGAGTAATATAAGAGGGGCCTGGAGCCATGACTAATGAACAGAGAAAATGTTATTTTAGTGCCAGGAATGTCTGCATTGTTTATTCTGGACCCTATTTTGAAATTGGCATCTGTTGAAATTTGTGTGAAATTGGCCAAATTGCCAATTTCTGACCACTATATTGGGTGGTTGAAATAAGTGAATGGGTGGTTTCTTGTACTCAGTTGACAGACTAGAAGTAAGTAAATAAGTAAGTTTATTCAGGTATACACAAATACAGTTACAAAGATTATCATACATAGCAGTGTATGTATAGAGAATCTAGGATAACCCAAAAAAGTCAGACAAAGTGACTTGTTTCCAGTACCTGGCTTGGGCTTGCCATATATGATTTTTGGTAAATATTTTTTTCTCTCAGTTGTTTGTTGGGCTGTCTTATTGAAACTTGGGCAATGTATGATGGAAAGATGCTCCTTAACGTACAACAAAAATAAAAAAGACGGACGATAAATAAGGGAGTTCACTTCTCAGCCATTAGCTGCCTCTGCGGTATATTTTTGCATGGTTTTTATGGTTGTATTCTCGTTTTTTTTGGTCTCATTTGATAGAATGGAAGATATATTACAGAAATAGACATGATTTTGATTGCTTTGATGATGAAAAGTACCTTGAAATTGAGCTCAAAGTAGCGGAAATGTTCGATTTTTGCCGATGTTCAATGAACTTTGTGTAAGCCAAGTTGGTTAATTTTATTAAGCGTATTCTAACCTAACCACTCTGTAATCCAGCAAACTCAGTAATTCAGCACACTACAGATCCCAATGATGCCAGATTTGTTATGGAGGACCTGTACCAATTTCTGACCACTTTATTGGGTAGTTCAAATCAGTAAATGGGCAGTTTCTTGTACTCAATTGATAGAAAAAATGGAGTTCTAAAGAAATAGCTATGAGTTTGGTCAACTGGAACAACGAAATTGGCCAAAAATAGAGCTCAAAGTTGGCGAAATTGCCGATGCGTATATGTCGCCAAGACCGCTAACTTCACGGGAGCATAATTCCGTGAGTTTTCGACCAAATTTCGTACTTTTGGTATCATTACCATTGGGAAAAGATTCTCTATCATTTCACAAGAAAAAATAATTTTTTTTTTTTTTCCAAAAATTTTTCGACATAGAATGACAGTTTCAGAAAGGGGCCTGCAACAGTCAAAGGGTTAAGAGAGGGATGGCTGTATCTGTTGTAACAGATGCTGCCTCGTGCTTACAGAGGTACAGTATTCCACTTAGTGTTTCTTCTTTTTCAGGTCACCCTGCCTTGGTGGAACAGCTGATGTGTTGACAAAAATAATAATTATTACTATTTTTATATGGAGGGTATTGGGGGCTGAGGGATTTTTGGGGAGGACTGAAGCCTCCAAGATCCATTGCATCCCTATATAGGAACAAATGAGTGTTGCAGTAGGCTTACTGACATAAGCTATTCAGGTCCTGCTCTCAATCATTTGTGTGTAGTAATGCCCCGGTTTTTGTCCTTAATCCATTCCAGAAGATCGGCTGAAATCCGAAATGGACGAAAACCGAAGCAATATTTCCCATAAGAAATAATGTAAATCTAATTAATCCATTCCAGACACCCAAAATATTAACAAAAAATACATTTTATAGAGAATAACTATAGTTTTACATACAGAAAGCAATGAGAAATAAATATAAATGACTAATTTTAATGATAAATGAACATTATATACCTTTGTTGAAGACTTGTTGGCATATGGAAGAAGGCGAGGCGGGGAGAGGGAGTTGAGGTTACTGTTTGGAAGGGGAATCCCCCTCCATAAGGACTTCAGGTATCAAAGCCCTATCCGGGGTTACTTCCCTTTTTTGTCTTTTACTGGCACTAGGACCAGCTTGAGAGTCACTGCACCCATCGCACAAAAAATTTGTCCAGAGAGGCTTGTTTCAGGCGTCTCTTTAAGATCTACCTAAAATGGGACAAGACATTGTCATTGAACATGTTGCAGACATGGCTTGCAACAGTTTTGTTAGGGTGATAATTCTCTGCAAAACTTTGCAACTCACTCCACTTCGCACACGTGTCCTTAATCACTGAAGAAGGCATATTCTCCCCTCTCTCTTCCTCTTCGTCCTCTGAAGCAATTTCCTGAGCTGCGATCTGTTGCTGTTCCAGTTGAAGATCTTGCAGCTCTTCAGCGGTTAGCTCTTCCCTGTGTTCCTCCACCAACTCTTCCACATCCCATACATCCTGGTGAGCTTGGCCACATGTACGCCACTTTCATTTTTGCTACAAGTTCTGTCTTGAATTCTATCGTGTTTCTCACCTTTACCAATGGGCTGGCACACTGAGTTTTCTTTGACCCCATGGTGGCTTATTTCACAGTCGCAAGCACAAAAAACAATGGATGAATGTGTGGAGTATGCTAACTCAACGAGAGACAGAGGCAGACTGAGTCTGGCACACATGAGAAGCAGCGGCCCAGGCAGATGTATGAAACCCGGGGGAAAATTTCGCCCAAAAAAGTGCTCAAAATCTGAACTGTACGATTTCCGTACCGGATGAAAACCAGGGGTCCACTGTATAAGTAAATATTGCTAAACCATTGTTTTCCTAATAACAAAGGAGCACTGTAGTAGGCGTACTGGCCCATGGTACTGTATATAGATCTAACTTTCATCTTTTTACTGTATGTCTTTTCAACCTAGTCAAGAAATGCTAATCTGCAAGTCTCACAAAGTATCTCTATATTTTACATGGTAAACTGAGTTCAGTTTGTTTGCCAAGAGCCTAGAATACATCTATCACATAAAGCAAGGGACATATGAATATATAGTACAAACCTGAACAATCTTTGAACATGGACTAAGGTAGCAGTTACTCTAAACAATGCAACATACATGGAGGAATTGCAATAAATAGCAAGCTGATGGGAAAGGATGGAGAAGGGGAAAGATGGGAAGAGGAAGTAAGGCAGAGGAAAGGACATGTACTGAAATAAGGTTTTAAAAAAGGCAGGACACAGGGTGACATGTCCTAAAGAAAGGTTTAAACAAAGGCAGGGCACAGGGACACATACAGGAGAAAAGTTTAAAAAAAAAAAAAGGCAGAACATTGAGACACATACTGAAGGGAGGTTATAAGGCAAAACATAGGGGGGCGACATACTTTAGGAAGAATATAAAAAAGCATGGCACAGAAGAAACATGACAGAGTAAAAAAAGCAGGTATGTAGAATGCACAGGGGAGGGAGATTAAAAACTGCAGGTCATGGAGGACATACTGATGGGAAAGGTTACGACGCGGGCTGATGGGCGAGCCCTCAGCAAGACGCTCGAAGTGTGACATAGTTCCATTGACAGAGCAGGTGTCCACTCTCTTGCGTGGTGGGTCAGCAGACTCTGAGCGGTATCGATGGATGATCTCATTCTCATCCTCACACGCAGGTTTCCGTCTTTTCCGGTCCAGTAGGAGGAAGTAAATGACCTTCTCTGTGTTGTGACTGAAAGAAACAACTTGTTTGTGTCAATAATTCTTTATCTCTCATTCAATGCAAAATTTTTTCTTCTTAAGAATGTCTCTGATCTACAACCTTTTAAGTATTTTGTTTGCATGTTTGTATAATGCAAGCACCTGTATGTAGGTTTCAGATTTCTGCTGTTACCAATTATTTAAGAATGTTTTTAATTTTACTCAATAGTAATATTTCAAAAACTACACAACTGCCTGTATAAGCAAACACCCATACCAATAACAAATTCAGACTGTTTGATACAGAAGAGAGGGAACAAGTAAAAATCTCTACGAATATTGATGTAAGATAACCTGACTTAACCTTGGTCAGAAAAATAATAGGCTAAATTAAGGAATCCTCAAAACAAGGGACACCACACTAATGATATAAATTTTCAATGCACTTGTAGTCTCCTGTAGCATGTTGTTCTATTCTTCCATTTCCTTTAACAGAAAGCAAGAAAGCTGAGTTATAAAACCTGAGATATTTGTTTTACTCCTCATGGAATCAGTAAATCATCTCTACTGAGATCGCCAATGCACTGTGTTCTCTCCAGAACAGTCGAGAGATGTTTCTCATTTGAAGTTTACTGGGTGAAATATAGAATAGACTAAGTGAAAGGTACAAGTGCTACAAGCACCATTAGAGTTGTGTGTCAATATCCAAGGTCTATGACCCTTCAAATTTCTACAAAAAAAAAAAAAAAAAAAAAAAAAAAAAAAAAAAAAAAAAAGCCCGAACAAAGGTTGAATACTTCAAGAAAGAACTAAGCAAGTTTCTGCAGGAGGCACAATATCTGATCAGTCAAGTTATGATGGCTATGCAGATTGTGGGCAGCAATAGCATGATTAATAAGGAAGTGATTAGCTGATTATTATATTCAGAGAAAGTACCAAACCTGTAGGGTCATACAGCACTTGGGAAATGGGAAGCTATTAGATTCAATCCAAGGAATGGAAGGACGACCACAATTCCTTGGGTCAAGAGCCTCTCACCAGCATCAAGGACCTCCTTTGAAGGGAGTCACTAATTGAGCTTGGTCTCAAGCTGGGATGCTAGAGTAGATGAACACTTTAAGCTTGTTACAGAAATCAGAAGAGTTTACCCTGGTCAATATATAATACTTATTCCTCCAAAACCCTCATGAATGCTGCCCAATACAGTTTCCGAGTTTAACCAAGTGCATCATCTGAGAAGTAACTCAAGTCAATGCTAATTAGAGCACATGCCATCAAAGCGAGGATATGAAAAATGGAAAAGCATAGAAAGATCAATATCAAGGGCAAATTTCTAAAGAATCTTAATAAAAAACTGACAATATGTTTATTTATGTCATCCTTAATGAAAGAAGGAACTGAATAAAAGCTAAAGGTGAATGGGGATGGTGGTCAATCAAATCTGAACATTAATACAAAAAATAGCTCATGACAAAAAATTATTTTCTGGAGATTATAGAATAAGCCATATATATTTCATCCTATCCACTATGATTTTGAAGATGGAAATTTTGTATAGAGACTTTAGGAGAACAAATTAAATATTAATAAGTTACCCACCAAGGATCAAGGAGGTCTAACATGACCTTATCTTTGTCCTTGAAGCAACCAAGGGAGGCCATATTCCTGATGACGTCTGGGTCGATGCTGTCCTTAGTGGGGATGATGTGAGTCTGAACCACCTCCATCATTGGTTTCTCCAGCTCCAGCTCACCCTTCCCACCCGCCACCACCCATGGGTGCTTGTTGATCTCCTCCAGCTGGGGAAAACATAAAATCAATCTAACGCATAAACTCTCCGCACAAAACAAAAATATATCCTCTACTGTACATTTGGAAATAAATTACATGGTGCTTTTGGGAGATTCTGAAGAGAATACTCAAATAACCTGCACATAGGAGAATGAAACCTATCATGACATTTCGGTTGAATTTGAACCAGTCCAAGTTGGACTGAAATGTCATAAGTTTCATTCTCTTATGTGTAGGCTGAATATGTTCCAGTCATGATATTGAGCCTTTTTATTCTTCCTTCTAAAGAGAAGCTCTAAAGGTTGGTGGATGAATTTTGGAGGGAATGTAAAACATGGAAATTAAAAGGGAACACAGAAATGAACAAAGTGGTGATGGTAACAAAAAATTTGGGTAATGGAAGATTAGATATCAGATTGGAGGAAAAGAGTATGAAGGAAGTGAATGTGTTTAACCCTTTGACTGTCGCGGCCGTATATATACGTCTTACAAGGTACCGTGTTTGACGTATATATACTCATAAATTCTAGTGGCTTCAAATCAAGCAGGAGAAAGCTGGTAGGCCCACATGTGAGAGAATGGGTCTGTGTGCACCATATAAAAAAAATCCTGGAGCACGCGTGCATTAATGAGAAAAAAAAAAATCTATTTCGTATAGTATTTAGGTGTTATTCTCATTTTCTTGATTCATTTGATAGAATGGAAACATATTATAGAAATAGAGGTGATTTTGATGATTTACTATAAAAAGAACCTGGAAATGGAGCTCAAATTAGGGGAAATGTTTAATTTTTGCCAATGTTCAAAAGTAAACAAATGATGTCATTGTCCAATAAATGTCCAACTAGCCACTCTAATATGCAGTCATGAATGGGTTGATGTTATTTATACAATTATTACAGTATTGCAGTAGTCTGCATAATAGTAAGTCTTCTATTTTTTGTTTGAATAAAAATTCAAAAATAGAAAGCAAGAGTAATATCAGAGGGGCCTGAAGACATGACTGATGAACAAAGAAAATGTTATTTTAGAGCCAGGAATGTCTGCATTGTTCATTCTGGACCTTATTTTGAAATTGTCATATTTTTTAATTTTCGTGAAATTGGCCAAATTGCAAATTTCTGACCACATTATTGGATAGTTGAAATCGGTAAATGGGCAGTTTCTTGTACTCAATCGATAGAAAAAAAGGAGTTCTAAAGAAATAGTTATGAGTTTGGTCGACTGGAACAATGGAATTAGCCGAAAATAGGGCTCAAAGTGGGCGAAATCGCCGATTTGTAAATATCGCCGAGGTCGCTAACTTCGCGAGAGCATAATTCTGTCAGTTTTCCATCAAATTTCGTTTTTTTTTGTGTCATTACAATCGGGAAAAGATTCTCTATCATTTCATAAGAAAATTTTTTTTTTTTTTTTTTTTTTAAATTTTGCGACACCAGGAGACACCTCAGGATTGGGGGTTGCGACAGTCAAAGGGTTAAATATGTGGGAGTAGACGTGTTGGCAGATGCGCCTATAGAAGATAAAGTGAACCATGGAATTGACGAGGGGAAAAAGGCAAGTGCTGCACTGAGGCATCTGTGGAGACAAAGAACATTATCCATGGAAGCAAAAAGGGTAATGAATGAGAGCATAGTAGTATCAGTGCTCTTTCATGGGTGTGAAACATAGGTTGTGAATGTTGCAGCAAGGAGACTGGAGGCAGTGGAGATGTCTTGTCTCAGGGCAATGTGTGGTGTGAATATTATGCAGAGAATTCCTAGTTTTGGGGATTAGGAGGAGGTGCGGGGTTACTAAAACTATTATCCAGAGGGCCAAAAAGGGACTGCTGAGATTAGTGAGACATTTAGAGAGCATGGAACAAAATAGGATGACTTGAAGGGCGGATAAATCTACAGTGGAGGGAATACGGGCAGGGGCTGTCCCAAGAAAAGTTGGAGGAGGGGGGTAAAGAAGGCTTTGTGTGCGAGGGGTTTGGACATCCAATAAGCATGTGTGTGAGAGCGTTAGACAGGAGTCAGTAGAGGCATGTGGTTTTTATGACTTGAAAAGCTGTTGGAGTATGAGCAAGGTAACATTTATGAAGGGATTCATGGAAACTGGTTAGCTGAACTTGAGTCCTGGAGGTGGGAAGTACAGTGCCTGCACTCTGGAGGGGTGGGGATATTTGCAGTTTTGAACTGTAGTATCAGAGTCCCTCTGGCAAGACAGTGATGGAGTGAGTGGTGGATTTTTTTTTTTTTTTTTTTGGGGGGGGGGGGTTACCCTGCCTTGGTTAGAGAATGTCAGTTTGTTAAAAAAAATCTTCCAGCAAGTTAGTAATGGTATATAAATTAGTAACATTATCCAGTCAAGCACTGATCTTTGCAGCACCCCACTGGTGACACTATCTTATGAGATCATTTTACCTCTTATCAAAGTTTCCCTTTTCCTTTGAGGCATAAAATCTCTCCTCCATTAAAATGGTTTGCCTTTTTTATTTCTATGTTTTACAGTTTCCAAATTAATTATTCATGAGGCAGACTATATTAAACTTTCTCAGTCTGTATAAACAAAATCTGCTTACACTTTTTTCATGAATAAATTGTGACTGTCAAGTAGCTTAACATGGTAGATTTGATACAAAGAAGTTTGCTGATGGAAAAGAGAACTATGTGTTAGTGAGTAGTTGTTTTTGCTCATTAAGTTCTTGATGTTTCTCTAATGGTTTTATCAAATATTTCCACAATAATGCTTGATAATGAGACAGTGAGTGCTAAGTACTATATGTCTGCTCATTTAACATTCCTTTGTGAAAATCTCAAAGCTTTCAACTGGAAAAATAAGTTCCTTTGCACATTCTTTTTAAGACCTGTTGTGCTATTCTGTCTGGTTATGTTGCTTATTTCTTGCCAACATCTCGTAGAAGCTTCTTTGCCTCCTGTCTGGATACCTTCATGTCCCCAAATTCACTCAGTTAAATAAGTTTATTCAGGTACAGGTACACACAAATACAGTTAAATAAATTATCATACATAGCAGCATATGTGATGATTACCTAGGATAACCTAAAAAAAGTCAGTGGCTTATTTCCATTTGGGGTTTAGATCTGCAAAGAGCATTCTCTTCTGTAAGCCTAAATGAATACCAGGTATAGTTGGGCATGGTAGCATGTGTGTAGCTGAATGACTTGCATGGGCTTAGCACATCACTAAAATACTATTTGCAATTTCATATTTAGTACAGGTCTCCCTCAACATTCGCTAGGGTTAGGGGATCAAGAGCCTCGCGAATGTTGAAAAATCGTGAATGTTTGGTGCCCCAAAATATTGTAGGGAAATATAATACAATACTGCTTCCTTAACTTGTTAAACCATGAGCAATCATAAAATACATGAAAACGTCGTAAATTGTACTAAATACATACATGTTATGGTTTAATAACATGTATGTTATTAAATACCACTGCCTCCACCACTGCCTCCACCACTGCCTCCACCACTGCCTCCACCAATGCCTCCACCACTTCCTCAACCACTGCGAGTCCCTACTACCCTCCCTCCGACCCCGCAACTGGCAGCCAGCCCTCCCACCACTCAGTGTGGTGAGTGTTTTGTTTGTTCATTATTTGCTATTAAACTACAGTATAAATAATGTAAACACATTCATGACTGCATATTGGATGGCTATTTGGACAGGTATTGGACGGTTACATCTTGTGTTTACTCTTGAACACAGCAAAGAATCAAACATTTCTGCTACTGCTAAAAATAACAATGTTAATAATAATAATAATAATAATTTAATAATAATAATAATAATAATAAATGCTAGAATAAAGAAGGAAATTGTACAAAAAACGAGGGAGTGGTTTGACAATTAAAGGTGGTTTTGGGGTTTAGCTGGAGTGAGCATTAGTCCTGGCTCTTCCAAAATTTCACAATAATTCACTGTGTTTGGGTTTGGTAGATTGAGGCGATGGAATGGAGAGGCAAGGGGTTGGGAAGGGGTTGAGGCAGTGGGTGAGGCAGTGGGTGAGGCATGGGTGGGTGTGGGTGAGGCGTGGTTGAGGCAGGGGTTGAGGAGGGGTTTTGAGGAAGCGGTTGGGGCGCTGGTAGGGCAGTGGTTTGGGCGGGGTTGAGGCGGGGTTGAGGCAAGGTGGAGGCAGCAGTGAGGCAGTGGTATTTAAAATATTGTTATAAATAATAATAATAATATTATTAACATTTTTTTTTTTTTTTTTTTTTTTTTTTTTTTTTTTTTTTTTTTTTTTTTTTTTTTTTTTTTTTTTTTAATTCACCCGGGCCGTTCCCACCAAGGCAGGGGGGCCCGAAAAAGAAAAACTTTCCCCATCATTCACTCCTCACGTCTTCCCAAAAGGGTGCTTTACACCAGTTTTAAACTGCAAAATTAACACCCTCCCTTTAGGTGCAGGCACTGTCTTTCCCATCTCCCGAAAGCGGCCTGCCGGTTCCCCCGAATCCCTTTATAAAAGTTCCCTTTTCTCCCCTCCAAAAGCACGTCAAGTATTAAAAAACCCTTTTTCTCCATTCACCCTATCAAAAAAGCTCCGCTGCCGCGGAAGTCCAACCCTCGACACAAAACCTCCTTTCCCCCTCCCCCCAACCCCTTCCCCAGGCCGACCCCCACCCCGCCTTCCTTCACTACAACTGATACACTCTGAAGTCATTTTGTTTGCTCCATTCTCTCTACAGTCCGAAACCCCTCAAAACCTTCCCCAGCCCCCTGACAAAGTTTTGGTAAAACCCGACCCCCTCCCAACTTCCAAACTACGAATTCTCTGCATTAATTCACACACACATTGCCCCCCGCATACTCTCCACTGCCTCCAGCCTTCTCCCCGCTGCAAACATTCACACCCACGCTTCCCCCCATTAAGACGTTGGAAAAACTATACTCTCATACATTCCCCTCTTTGCCCCCAAAGGGACAAAGTTCTTTGTCTCCCAGACTCCTAAGTGCCCACTCACTTTTTTTCCCTCATCATTTTTGCCCCCATTTTCATAGA